TGCACTGACCCCCCCCCAGGGCGCAGCGCGGGCGGGGCAGATCCTCCCCCCTTACCCGGGGCCGTGGGGCGGGTCCGGGCTCGCCAGGCTCCGGCCGAGGCTTGGGGGCGCAGGCGGCGGCCATGGGTGCTGCGGGCGGAGTCCGGCGGAGCTGCCCGTGCCCGGGGACAGCGCCCGCCCCTCGGGGGCCGGACACGCGGGCCGGGCCAGCCCCGCGGGGACGGACACGCCGGGCAGGGCGCGGCCAGGCTGCCCGGGGCTGGGGGCAGCAGGTGGCAGAGCCACGCGCCCCGGTGCCCTGGTGCCCTGGTGCCCTGCCTGGCACGGCCCCCCCGGCCCGAGCAGCTCCGGGACTGGGGCCCCCGCCCCGGGGGGCTGGAGAGAAGCAGCCGCCTGGCCTGGGGGCTTGAGCCCCGAGGAGGAGGGTCTGGGCTCGGAGCCCGATGGCCATGCCCAGGCTGCCCGCCGAGCGCCCAGAGCAGGCTGCTGGCCCAGGGGGTGCCACGCACCCCGGCACTGGGGAAGTCCCGGCAGGACCTGCAGCCCCCCCAGGGCATGAGGGGGGAGAGGAGCCAGCGCTCTCCTTGCCCGGAGAAGGTGCCAGCGTGGCAGCGAGAACCGTGGCTAGGAAAGGGCGGGGGGGGGGAGCCCTGGGGTGCTGCACAGCCAGCGGGGGCCTCACACTGGCGCAAAGGGGCCGGTCACCCCCCAACAGGCAGAGCCCCTGCAGTTACTAATTGCAAAGTTCTATTGCTCCATGAATGTTAATGAGCTGTGCCCAGCTCAGTGTGACCCCTGCAGCTCCCAAGCTCAGGCACGGGGGCCCCCACTTTACTCCGACCGCGTCTGGGATTCCGGTTCCCGTTTAGTTCTGTTCTGTTAGCACCCAGAGCCCCCAATCCGGAGTGAAGCCCCCTCTCTGTATCTAAACAATCTCCTGTTGTACGTTCTCTGTAACAGTTCTGAGGGTGGCAGAGTCTCACAGACATGGGGACCATCCAGGAATGTCCCGGAGGTGACGTTTACTCTCCCAAATCCTTCCAGCAACACGCTACAAACCTGCTTCCAACTGAATCCTTTGTATTTGTCATAATGATTTGAATAACCACTTCAGTGCGCAGAAGCCCAAGGCAACTGGTAAGATTTGGCTGGCAATATGTGTTTGTTCTAGAGCTACGCTGCGAACATCCATCATTGAATTACACTCTAGATAGTAAAAAGCCACAAAGAGTCCTGGGGCACCTTATAGACTAACAGATGTATTGGAGCATAAGCTTTCGTGGGTGAATGCCCACTTCGTCAGACGCATGCACTCTAGATAGTGATTCTTTTTAAGGGTATAGACCGTAGTGTTAATAAAAAGATTTGTTTAAATACAGAGATTGGGCTCTTTGGGGCTAGTTTTTAAGTGACTGGGGACTATTGATGCAGTAGAAAGTAGCCCCGGGAATCATGGGTGAAGTTGCCCCCCTCAACCAAAGTCTGAGCTGGTGCCTTGTCACGGAGTGTGGGGGGACACAAGGCCCTGCACCCCTGGCTTTCTGCGATTCACCAGGACTCTCAGCCAGCCAGTAAAGCAGAAGGTTTATTTAGACGACAGGAACACAGTCCAAGACAGGTCTTGCAGGCACAGACAACAGGATCCCCCCCATTAGGTGCAATTAGGGGTCCCAGGGCACCACAGCCCCCTTGGGAGGTCAGAGCCCCGTCTGCCTCCCAGCCAATCCACCAGCCAGCTCCTGCAACCCTCTCCCACAGCCTTTGTTCAGTTTCCTGGGCAAAGGCGTCACCTGGCCTCTAACCCCTTCCTGGGGTCTCACGTTACATGCTCAGGTATCTTCCCTCACAGCCAGACTCCCATCTCACCATGCAGACCATCCTAGCCACACTCCCCTGCCTTCCTAGCCAACACTCCCCACTCAGCATTCAAAGACCACAGTAAGAACAGTCCCAGTTCGTCACATGCCGTTGCGCGGGGAGTCAGTGGCAAAGAACTGACCTCACATTTTCTGGGTCTCCTAGGCCAGAGCGCAGCCACCAGCCCGGCCGCCACACACTGTTCTTAGCGGGTGTGTGATTCTTTGCAGGAGGCAGGGGCTGGGCATTGCTGGGGTTAGTTTGTGAATGGATTCCCAGGCCTGGTCCTTTGAGCACTGGCTCCGCCCCATGCCCCTTCCATCAGTTTAACCCTATCCTGGTCCCTTATAAAGGGTTTGTTTCTTCTCACGACTGTTTGGTCCTTGATTCCTTTTAAATGTAATGTTAATGCGAGCGAGGCTGTAGGCTGGATATTCATCTATCCCCGCCTATTGGTGGCAGCGGTGTGTGCTCAGAACACCAGCGAGCTAAGGGGTGAGCAGCCGTCAGTGCGAAGTGTACAAAGAACCCAGGACCAGGGTCCCTCTAATTTTTCCCACTCACGCGTGGAATGAATTTTGTTATGTGCAGCACCATGGAGGTGACACAACCCTGGGTGACACCTCACCTCCATATTGGTGCACAGAACAAAATTCATGTGGCGGGTGTGGGGCTGAGGGGTTCGGAGTGTGGGAGGGGGCTCAGGGCTGGGGCAGAGGGTTAGGGTGCAGGGGGTGGGGGCTCTGGCTCTGGAGTGGGGCCAGGGATGAGGGGTTTGGGGTGCTGGCTGCCCTGGAGCTATGGCGGGGAGAGAGGACTCGCCCCAGCTCTCTCTCCGCGCAGCAGCACCAGGGGCTCCTCTCCCTGGCAGCTCCGGCAGGACTTGGGCTGGGCCGGGAGACCTGCGTGGCCCTAAATAGCCTGCTGTGGGGCCGCGCAGCTTACAGGGAACCTAGCCCAGGACCCATTGATCCTGGGGGCGAGGGGTTGGGACACTTAGGAGGGAGCAGTAGGGGACAGCCCCACACCTAGGCATCAGGAGGCTACGAGAGACTAAAGGGAAAAAACACACTGAGGGACGGCACGACTCGGGCTGCGGCCGGGTGATTTAAAGAGGTGTGTAACAGGGTCCACTCACCACTCTGGTGCCGCCTCAGCCTGTCTTGGTGCCTTCGGGTGGTATCTTGCCGCCGTGACTCCCGCTCTTGGACCCACGTCTCTCCAAGGACCGCGGCGTCCTCTTCAGCGACACAGCCCCTCGGCCACCACACACTGTGCTCCCCCCTTCCGGGGGATCTGCCGTCCGCGGTCTGGCTACGTCCCGCATGGCCCCGGCACCCTCTTTACCCTTGTGTCAGGGCCTCAGTCTGCAACTCTCCAGTAGCCAGCCAGGAGCAGCGCCTGGCTCCCTCGGCCCCTGTTTGCAGCACTGCTGTGTCCAGGGTGCTGGCAGTTCTCAGCCCTCCAGAGACACCGGGTATGTCTACACTACGGGATTAATCCGAATTTACAGAATTCGATTTTTGGCAACTGATTGTATAAAACAACAGAGAGTCCTGTGGCACCTTATAAACTAACAGACGTATTGGAGCATGAGCTTTCGTGGGTGAATACCCACTTTGTCAGCTGCATGTAATGGAAACTTCCAGAGGCAGGTATAAATATGCAGGCAAGAATCAGTCTAACCTCGTTATCTCCAGACTGATTCTTGATACCTGCCTCTGGAAATTTCCATTACATGCGTCCGATGCAGTGGGCATTCACCCACGAAAGCTTATGCTCCAATACATCTGTTAGTCTTAAAGGTGCCACAGGACCCTCTGTTGCTTTTTATAGATCCAGACTAACATGGCTACCCCTCTGATACTTGGTTGTATAAAGTCGATTGTATGCAGCCACACTAAACACATTAATTCGGCGGTGTGCGTCCGTGTACCAAAGCTAGCGTTGACTTCCGGAGCGTTGCACTGTGGGTAGCTATCCCATAGCTATCCCATAGTTCCCGCGGTCTCCTCCACCCATTGGAATTCTGGGTTGACATCCTAATGCCTGATGGGGCCAAGAATTTGTCGCGGGTGGTTATGGGTAAATGTCATCAGTCAATCCTCCCTCCGTGAAAGCAATGGCAAACAATCATTTCGCGCCCTTTTCCCTGGATTGCCCGGGCAGACGCCATAGCACGGCAATCATGGAGCCCATTCAGCCTTTTTACCGTCACCGTATGTGTACTGGGTGCTGCTGACAGACGAGGTGCTGCAGCGCTACACAGCAGCATCCCCTTGCCTTTGCAAGTTAGCAAAGATGGTTACCAGCCATACTGTATCGTCTGCTCTTTGCAAGTGGGCAAAGACGGTTACCAGTCATACTGCACCGTCTGCTGCTGTCATGGTGCTCCTGGCCGGCCTCAGTGAGGTCGGTCGGGGGCGCCTGGACAAAAATGGGAATGACTCCCCAGGTCATTCTCTTCTTTAAGTTTTGTCTAATGGAGACTCAGTCCTGCCTAGAGTATCAGGCAAACCTACTAAAGAACCAGAGAGGCAAACGGCCGCTCCGGGTCTGAGCCCCAGACATCCCGCAGAAATGAGGAGCTGCGTGCCATTCTAGGGGGTGCCCCTACAACAGCCCCCCCGTTGCTTCCCTCCTCCCCCACCCCTCCTGGGCTACCTTGGCAGTTCTCCCCCCTTTTGTGTGATGAAGTAATAAAGAATGCATGAATTTGAATCAACACTGACTTTATTGCCTCTGCGAGCAGAGATCAAGGGGGGAGGGGAGGGCGGTTGGCTTACAGCGAAGTCGAGTGAACCACCATTCTGCACTTGCTCAGCCTATAGCTGAAAATGGGACTCTGTGATGAGCACTAGGATAGACGCACAGGCAGGACTGAATCTCCATGTGTCTGTGGGCCTTTGGCTGACACTGGGAAAATACAAAATGTCCCAGGATATGGATGTTGGGGGACAGTTCTAAACGGCAGCTTTATTTTTTTATTGGCAGCAAAAAGTATCTGATGGTGAGTCCTGGGAGCAAGGGGTCGGCTGGGGTAGGAGCGACCGTGCGGTGCTGCCGACTGGGAGAGCAGCCTGAGGCAGAAGCCTCCAGCTGGCATGAGATTCCGGGCAGGACTGAATCTCCATGAGACAAAACTTAAAGAAGAGAATGAACTGGAGTCATTCCCCTTTTTGTCCAGGCGCCCCCGACCGACCTCACTGAGGCCAGCCAGGAGCACCCATGGGATGACAATGATGGTTACCAGTCATACTGCACCGTCTGCCATCCGCAAGGCAAGGGGATGCTGCCGTGTAGCGCTGCAGCACCGCGTCTGCCAGCGGCATCCAGTCGACATACGGTGACAGTGAAAAAAGGCAAGAAACGATTTTTTCCCCTTTGCTTTCACGGGGGGCCGGGCGCTGACGACATATACCCTGAACCACCCGCAACAATGTTTTTGACCCTTCAGGTATTGGGAGCTCAACCGAGAATTCAAATGGTTTTCGGAGAGTGCGGGAACCATGGGATAGCTACAGTCGTCAGTCGCCCCTCCCTCCATGAGCGTCCATTTGATTCTTTGGCTTTCTGGTACGCTTGTCTCAGCTCCTTAAGTTTCACGCAACACTGTGTTGAGTCCCTGTTGTGGCCTCTGTCCATCATGGCCTTGGAGATTTTTTCAAATGTTTTGGCATTTCGTCTTTTGGAACAGAGTTCTGATAGCACGGAATCCTCTCCCCATACAGAGATCAGATTCAGTATCTCCCGTTCGGGCCATGCTG